TTGATCTTTTGAAGTTCGTCGGAGATTATTTGGCAATAGGAAAGGGAAGTTAGGGTTGGAGCCATTTTGGAAGTTGAATAATTAGATGAGTATCTAGGAATTGGATGAATTTCTAGAAAGCAAAGGGATGAACTTTCTGATAATTTTAGGGTTCTATTGCTCAGAGCTTCTAGGAGAATTTTAAAGCGTAAAGAAATAAGGAAAAAAACAGGGGTATTTATAGGTGAATGCGTGAAGCTTAAAGCTTTCGAGTTACGACATATTTGAGAAAATCTCCGGTTTGGTTCACCAAATCATTTGTATTTTTAAATTCAAAGCACACTCAATCATTCCGTTTTAAAAACGAGGCCTCTGAGCCGTTTTCACGAAAAAATTTTAGTTGTGATGGGAACACGGAAGATACACCACGTATTTTTATGTAAGTGGTGAAAAATTTTAATTTTTAAGTTATTAATCTTTTAACACACATATCCCACTATTTATATAGAGACATGTGGTGTACCACCTCGTGTGACGGTTACACTGAAAAATCTCTTTGTTTTCATAGTGTCCAACCACACACGGGTCTAACATGGTTTGGCTTTAGAGTTGAGCACATCAAGGATGGACGTTTCTAATGGAAAATATTTGAGAAACTAAGTTCAATAAGCACCATGCAACATATTGCATGCATTTAACAATAAAATGGCGGAAGCATGCTTTTATACACTTTAAAACAAAACTTAAATCACGAAATTAAAAGCTTAGTAGTGGTGGTGAACCATGACTCAACTCTAATAACAAAATAGTTGAGAAATTTTATACCTTTGAAGGTCCTCTTTGCATGAGCAAAGGCTAGTCACCCATGAGAGGGCCTTCATTCCTCTCCTTCAATTGAACTCCATGGCCATCATCTTCATGTAGTTTTCTCTTTGGATTCTTGGATTTGAATGTTTGAGAGATTCTCCAAAAGTCCCTAAAGTTGGAGACCTCTATGTTCTGACACCAAGGGTGGTGGAAGGAAAAAGATGAGTGACCTAGGAGAAGAAGATTGCTAGCTACACTTCTCCTAGGTGGCCGGCCTCTTCAAGGGAAGAGAGAGCATTATGTTTTCTGTCTTTGCCTTTTAGAAATCGTAATGATGTGCGAGATTACAAGGTCACTTACATAGCCCTTTACATTTGAGTGGCATAAGTTATAATAAAACCAAACCTCACCATTCCCTCCCTATGGTCGACCATGCTATGTTTAGTCGGCTAATTGCCCATTTCATTTTAGTTGTCATACACCTTAAACTTAATGGGCCTTGTGGACCAAAACCTATTTGGACCCCGAAACATGAAACTTAATAAAGCCCGTTACGAACCTTATGATTAATTAATATAATAATTAATCCTTACCTTACACAATTAAATTGTTTAATTGCCCTTACGCATCTCCGTTATTTCCTTCAATCATTACCTTACATGGTGTGTGATCCATTACTTTTAACGAGACAGTGGGCGATTAGAACTCTTTCTAATCGATTGTGAATTGAAAGTTACTTTTAATTCTCCTTTTAGTGATTATACATCTTCAGGGCTTCCACAAACCATGAGTGACACCTAGAAGTATGTCATGGCTACCTCAGCTAATCAAAAGAGGTTAGAGAACCTATTCAGTTTGGGATTACAATTGCAATACGGTCTTTCTCGAATTCAATACTCTTGATCATGTAGTTTGATATGATAGTTTATTCAAATCTACTTTCCAATGTGATTCTTTTACTTATATGATTACCTAGAATGTGATTTGGACTTTCTAAATCTCATTCATACTCTTACCAGAGATTCTTAATCATATCATAAAGTATTCTCCCTTAACAGTTTGAGGGTTAGATATCTCTTGTTGCGCATTCACCTGCCTCCATGGTTAAGTAGCTTAACCCCAATTATGCCATGGACACCCTCTGATGGAGTGCCTTTGACACAGTCAAAGATCAAGGACCTAATCACAAGACAACTATGATGCCTCAGGTCAAATGAATATTTGTCATTATCCCAACCATGAGTTCGCATGTGATATGAGTATGAGAACACCTTGTTAATCGCATTCAGTGGACTCATTCTTTATTGAGCACCTACATACTTGTCTTGGTGTCAACCACACCAATGACCTGAGACCAGTCGCTCTCCAAGAGAGAAGACATAGCATGACTCGAGACCAGTCACACCAATGCCCAATTGACGATCCTATGATCATGAACGGTTATGATATACGTACAAAAGAGAATGGTCTCATGAATCTAACTTTTTTAGATCACATTCTCCCAATTACATATTTCTTGGACTTATCGTTTAAGCGTATAACATTTAATGAGACGGTTTTAAATAATAATATTTGCTCTTATATTAAAGAAAAAATTACACATAGAGTATACTTTTAATACTTAATTTTATATTGAAAAAGAAACATTTTTTAAACATTTCAAGGAGAAACAAAAATTAATATATTGAAAGATGACATGATTGACTTTTTTTTCTCTAAAGTGTCAGTTACAAAAATACCCTTATATAAAAGTTAAAAATGAGGGATTTGCCCGTTCATTCTCTCTGCTTACGACATCGGCTTCTACTGCTCTCCTCGAACCAGCTCAAAAATGGTGGAACAGAGAAAGGAAATAGGCCAGCTTTATATGCGATAAATTTCGAGAATGGGTGCAGTAGATGTGATGAGGAATTTATTTGCAATCAAGATTCATTGCTATAATTGTTTTAATTTATGGCTGGATTAGTATATAACCTAATTAGATGGAAACTTCTTTACATACCGGCTTTCGTGCCCTTGTTGGAGCCGACCCTCCCACAGCCTTCAAGGTTATGAAGGCATCCATGGCTGAATTCCTTGCTCTTAATAGGCAGAGTGTTTCGTATGCCGTCCTTCAGTTCCTAAATGGCACTGCCAACCCACCACACACTCATCCTCGCTCTGCTGAGCTACTTTTCCTCATTGGCGGTACCCTTGAAGTCGGTTTCGTTGAATCCAAAAACAACTTCTTTACGCAGACGCTTCAGACAGGTGATCTGTTTGTGTTTCCCATGGGACTTGCACACTTCCAGTACAACGCTGATTCAGAAAACCCAGCCATAGCCATTTCTGCATTTGGAAGTGCAAATGCAGGAACTGTATCAATCCCCTCCACCTTGTTCACCACCGGCATCGACGACAATGTGTTGGCTATCTCCTTCAAGACTGATGTTGGCACATTCGGAAGCTCAAGGCCGGTCTTGCTCCCAAGCCATAAAGATAGTCGCATAATTGAAGAGTCGATGACCAATATTACATAGTTTGTTGAATAATTACGAATAATGTGTTCAAAGGGTGTGCCATCAACCTGTATTACATTGTTTGCCATAATTAATTTATTGTCGACCATATGATAGTATTTCCTTGATTATTTGTGGTGGATTGATATTTTGGTTTTGTATTAAAAAAAAAAAAATTTTGTTTTGTATTAAAAGAAATATTTTGATTTTACTATTTAGTATAAAAGTAAAAAGAAAATGGGCGCACGTCTAATTCATAAAACTTAGAGCTTAGTTAGAATAATTGTGGAGAAATTGAGTAAAGAAGAAAGCAATAAACTGTTAGTTTTACAATAAATTATGATTTAGAATTTCGCCTACTTGATAATCAATTCTTTTGAACCCACCCACCACCTTTTCCTTTTTAAGACATCCTTTGTAAGCAAGCTGGCCTTTAGGGTAGCCTGAATAGGCAGCTGCCTTAGGGCCCCCACTCTGAAAGGTCCCAATATTTTATTTCATTATATATATATATATATATATATATATATATATACAAACCTTGTGTTTGCTCAAATAGAAAGTTCGCAGACTTTGAGTCCCAATATTTTATTTCATTATATATATACACACACACACACACACACACAAACCTTGTGTTTGCTCAAATAGAAAGTTCGCAGACTTTGAGTCTTTGTCTAAATACAATAGAACAGTGTCCAACATTTTGATGATTTAATTGCTCTATATAATTAATTAACTTGAAAAATAAACTTGTTTATTTCTTTTGCCGTACTTCCTGGACTACCAGACAGGCCATAAACGATTAAGCCCTTTGGCCATTGCCGCATTCCCCAAACAAACACCCATTCCTAAACTCCCTTGTTTATTCTAATTGGTTCCCTTCTCAAATAGACAAAAAATTCTCAATTTAGACTCTTGACTGCAAATTCATAAGGTAATCGAAGGGAAAAATTTTTCTTTTTTTATAGTTTTTTATTTTTGAGTTATTGGAATTTTTTTTTCTATGGTATGGATAGTTTGGTATTTTTATTGTGTTTGTTACTTGCCTTTATGTAGGTGTATTTGAAGTAGAAATAGACTTTTTCCATGTATTAGCAAATTCTTTTTATACTTACCAATGTACAAAAGATCGGAATTCAGAGAACTATATGAGTCCACTTCAAAAGCTCGCCTAGCGTGCCAAATTCTCAAAGCTGGCACTGGCTAACGAACATCGTGAAATAGCTCGGACATTGGTGGAGCGTGTTCATTGGGTCCGACCAAGGCCTAGATTTCTTCGATGGACCCCATGAAGCGCGCCGAAACTGGGACTCTAATTGGTGACTGGTGGTACTTTCATTCCGCTTAAGAAGTTTTATACATGCATGCATGTAGCCGCGCATGCAGAGTGCTGGGGTGCTCACTAGGTCAATTTTTTAAGGTGGATCAAGGTTAGAGGGAACACACTATTCTAATCAACTTTTAACGTGTGAGGTTTGCTTTATCGCGTGTGAATTCCCATGTAACCAATAAGAAAGAAAATTCTAATTATAAGGCAAGTAGTCCAAAACCCTCCTTGATCTCCACTGATCGATGCTCAAGGATTGTTGTCTCTAGAATGGTAAAAATCATAACTTGATAGAAAGATTTGCAAGCAAAGGGTTAAACTTTTATAGGGTAAATGGTGAAAATTATCGAACACAAAAGGGTAAATGTGAAAAGTTATCCAACACATTATACTCTTTGCTGATTTGATGCAAGTTTCCTAAAACTAGATTTTACGCATAGCCAGTACATCTGCATCTCAAAAATGAAAACTGTCGAGAAGGGGTACAATCTAGACACCAGCTCAACACAAAATTTCATGGGCTCCAAGCATCTGAATCCACAACCATTAATCTAATCATCACCCCATGTTGATGGCCCGCCTGTTCCAATTTCATCAACATGCGACGGCTGTAGAGTAGAATCGGTGGAGGCCAAGTTTTTTGCTTTTTTACTCTTACAAGGGAAAGGTTACTAAGCCACCCAATTCTATTTCCTTGTCCTTAGCCTTTTCTTCACCAGCAACCTCAGCATCAACAGAAAAAAGCTCCAAAAATGGTGTATCTGTATCATCGATAACATCAAGGTCACCTTTTCTCATCTGGAATTTCTCTGATTTCTTTCCAACCTTGGTATTGTCTTCTGTTGCGATGCTTTCTCAAAATCCCCAGTATTCTCAAGATTTCCATATCATCTTCATTTTGCATTTGATGTTTGCGGTTCTTTTTCTTGACAGGATCTCGTTTTTCATCCCCCTCGACAACAACATTGTTTGAGGCATTGTCTTTTGATCCCTGCCTTTTCCATTTCGATTTATTTGTATCAGAATGACTAGCATTTTCGATATCACCATTGGTTTCACCCATTGCACGATGTTTGAAATCTCTATATTTTGGCTCTTCTATTTGAGTTTCTCGCTTGCTAGCAGTATTAAGTGAAGAATAATCAACTTCATCAACTCCAGCGCCCTTTTCATTGTTGATGTATTTATCTATGGGCCTTGCATTGTATACATGGAGGTTCGGCAACATCTTTTTAATCTACAGTAACATTGTTTCTATAAGTATATTTAACAAGGGTAATCTAGTGTCAGAAGAGAGACCTAAAAAAAAAAAAAAAAAGACTAGGACAACAACTAGTACCTTCTTTTCTAATTTATCCTTTTCAACAACAGTGTTTCCTTGCAGATTGAGATTCCTCAGATTAACCAATGAATTGATTACCTACCTCAGAATGCAACCGAGAAGCAGGGCCAAAATAAATTCCCACAAGATAAAAGAAATATAGAGAAACAAAAGTTCCAGGTCGTTGGATCTAACCTTCGATCTGACCATCTTGTGATCACATTATTACCCAAGTCCAAATTCTGGAGCTTCTTATTAAGAGCCAACTCGGCTGGGAGACTCTGAGTAGCATGCACAGAGACAGTGGGTGAGTAAGTGAGAAAGAGAGAGCATCATAGCATACAAAACCAGGCAACACACGGTTATCAACCCTAGCTACTTGAACAATATTTGTTTTCAACACTTAGGTGAAGAAACAGTAGAGCAAATCACTGCGTAATCATTAAAGGAAATAATTACAACGGTTGAGTAGTGTAGGAGGTAATTACAAGAAAACGGTATTTTAAAATCAACCATGTTTTCCAACAGGTAAACCAATTAGCAGAAAACACACCTTAATATCGCTATGAGCAAGACGGAGCTCTTTCAGTTCAATACAGAATTTGAGTGAAGCCTCTATAGTCTGAAGTTGGCAGTGAGAGAGAGAAAGCTGAAACCCAGAAAACTTCAAGGGTTTAGCTAAATTTAACTGAAATTATCACAAAGGACAATCAATCACCAGAAAAATGCTTACCTTTGTGACAGATTTCATCTTCTTCAGAGAATCACCAACGTCATGGATCGGATTTCTAGAAAGAACTACAGAAAAGTCCCAAAGTAAAAGAGCAGAATTCATATCAATCATGAACAATTTTTTTTTATATTTCTTGATAATTATGAATCATGAACAAGAATAGCAGAGAGAGAGAGAGAGGAAAAAAAAAAAAACCAACAGAATATGAGGTTATCGGCTTTGTAGTGTGAGAAAAAGAAAATGGGGGAAATTGTGGCTTTTCATGATTTATTCTGACTAAAGCTCTACCAAGAAATGCAACAAACTAATGAGACACTGCAATCTAGGTGACCCCATACATGTTAATAAATTTGAATTTCACCTCTAAACAAAGGTAACTACAGAAACACATTAAAATCTTATATACATTGACATTCACTCTATGAAAGGATCTCCACCTCATGTTTTATATCCTACCTTTTTACCACTTCAAATAAAATAAGATAAAAATAGTCCGTAGACAAAATTGGTTATCTTTATTACAATAAAACTAAAAGTAATAAGTCATTATTGAATTCAGGAAAGCAAAAGAAAAAAAAAACTTTAGAACGCATACCAATAGTGTTCAGTTCTCTCAACGGTTCAAGTCTGCAAATTGAAGCAATCTCATTATCTACAAAACCCAGAAGATAAAATGAGAAACTGGGAGAGAGAGCAAGAGAGAGAGTACTTTAAGTAGTCACTACCTTCCAGTGTGGCAAATACTTATCCTCCAATACTACTATTCACTATAATTGGCCCACTTGACTTGGGATATCATGAATTTAAGCTATTTCCTCTCTTACATCAGAATGGTTTCTTGGGTTTGAAGCCATTGCTTTCTTGCTCTTATCGTTGCGAGAAAATGTTCTTACGGTCCTACCTACCATGCTAAAGAGGTTTTCTATTATAAGAACATTCTACTATGGTGTCATTAATACTACTAGCCTTGCTTTTTATGGGTGCCCATTTGGTTCGCTTGGGTATCCCCTTTTGTATGTCATTCCATTTTTATTTTGTTTCACAAACATCAAAATGTAAAAGGATGAAGGATGAGCCCAAATGATATTTCTCAAAATGTTCAAACAAATTCTCACCATACAAAATTACTGCACGTAAGCTCACAATAGACTTGACCTCATCCATCGCCTTAAGCTTATTGTTGCCAGCATTTAACACCTGATCACAAAGATTGAACAAAGTGACTCTAGAACCCAAATTGTGGATTTACTGATTATAGAATTATCTTGACTTGGTCAATAGTCGATTATTTAAAAGGAATGAAAGGAACTCAAATGAACTATCAGCATTCTTGTTTGTAAGCTGTCTAAAAATGTGTTTATTTAAAAGGCATGAAGGGAACTCAAATGAACTATCAGCATTCTTGTTTGTAAGCTGTCTAAAAAAGTGTTTCTGCGAAGTGGAGAAACAAAGAAGTGAAAGAGGACCAACCTCTATCGAGGCCTACCTTTTACTTCTCAGATTTGAGAAGCTGAGAGCTGTTTAAATACGTTATATCCTAGATAAGTCCTTAAAAATCCCTTTTCCTCCTAGTTTCCCCTACAAACAGATACAAGCAGGGGAAAACTAGAGATTTTCTGTTCTTCACTTTTCTCCTAAGAGCCAACAAAGACTTCAAAACACACCATCAGGTTAGTTCAATCCTTCCGACTGTTATAACTTTTATTCCATTTATTTTTCTTTTACTTTGTCTAATCTAGTCATAAATTTTCTTGTGTAGTATAATTATTTCATCTTTATTCACTCTAGTTTTTAAGTGTTTTCTATCAATTTCATTTATTTACCTGGAGCTAACCCTCCTCATACTACAGGAGATAGTAGCTGACAGTAGGTCTACGATTTATCAAGTTGTGACCCGAGCCAACGAAGCCACAAATTATGGCTTCTTAGGATAGAGTTTGACATACTTTATATACTGATTTTCAAATCACCTTTGATATGATGCAACCATAATACAATAGCACATTCTTAATATCAACTTTTTTTGTCTTACAAGATTTCCTTGGTCGTAACACACATGAGTTTTCTATTCAAAAACATATCAAGCATGATAACAATAAAGCATAAGCAAGATATAGTTTTGAATGAAAGACCCATGTGAGCTAGAACCCTGGGTACAAGCTCTTATTTTTATGCATGCAAAATGGCATGTAACTAATAGAAAGGAACTTAATATATGTAAACTTAGTATCCATGATTTCTTGCTTTGTGCTGTTTACGAAATAATTTCTCCATAAAGCATAAGCAAGTACATGAGAAAGAAAATTATTAGGTTAAAAAATCCTAATCATTGGATGTGACGGAAAACTTGAACACCATAATGGCCATATGTTTATCAAGTTTCCGGTCTGAACAACAAAGAGTACGGTAGTATAAAAATACCGCCTGACCAAGATAGACCAATTGAAATTTCAAAATTTCCCACTAAATGAGCTTCCTTAACTAGTCCAGGCTACACGATGCCCTACCCTAAACAAAGTTCGACATCCATATTCCGCTAATATCAAGTAGCTAAAAGGGTACCCTCAAAATGTTAACATCTTCCAACACCCACATTTTGACTAAAATCAAAAGTAGAAAAAAGTTAGTACTTATAGTGAGCTTAGTGAATCCCTCAATTCCGTTGAGGCCTTGCAGCTTATTATTCGCAACAGATAGCCATTTCAAATTGACACATGACTTGTAATAACCATATGATGATGTGGCAGAGTATCATTGGTTAAGTGATTGAATAGATTGAGTTAGTTAGGATAAAGTTGTTAGTGAGGGTATTTGAGTCTTTTGAAATAGATGGCTGTTACTACAAAAGGTAGTTGTAAAGCCATTTTCCTCAGTATGTTAGACTCGACTTTTCTGAGAAATACACAGAGCATTTTCTTTCATCTTCCTTGTTAATTCATCTTTCTGCCATTGTTCCTTTCTTCCATTCTTCATAATCTCATATGTTAATATGGTATGAAGACACACTGCAGTTAATTGTTTTCACAGGAATACAAATGTTCCAGCCGCTGGATTTGTGATTGAGTGTCAGATTTGTGGTAAGAGAGGTCATTCTGCATTGGATTTTTATCAAAGGGGGAATTATGCTTATCAAGGGCAGCCTCCACCTTCATCATTATCTGCAATGAATGCACAACAGACTTCAACATTTGTTCCTTAAGATGCTTGGGTTGTTGATTCAGGGGGCTTCACATCATATAACCTCTGATATCAATGCCTTATCTCAAGTAACACCATTTGAAGGGCCTGAGAGAATAACTATTGGGAATAGTACAAGTTTACCAATTAAAGATATTGGTTCAACTATACTTTAGACACCAACATACTCTCTAACTCTTAATAAAGTTTTACATGTGCCTGCTATCACTAGGAGTTTACTTTCAGTGAAACAATTGTGTGCTGACAACAAAAGCTGGTTTATATGTGATGAGTCTGAATTTTTTTGTGCATGACAAGAAGACAAAGGAGATAGTGTATCAAGGAAAGAGTAGGCCCGATGAGTTATTCCAGATTCCTGTGGTTACAAGTTAAAGAGGTTCTCAGTTTACTATCAAGAATCCATAAGCTTATTTGGGAAAAGTAGTGAAGAATAGCATTTGGCATAAAAGGCTCAGGCATCCAACTCATGATATTGTAGTTATAATGTTGAAACAGTCAAATATTTCAGCTCAAACAGATGATACCATAGTACTTGTATTTCCTATATTAAAGGCAAGATGTCTTGGACTCCATTTCCACTTAGAACAGATAGATGTACTTTTCCTTTTGAAAAAGTGCACACTGATATCTGGGGGCCTTCTCCTATAAGATCTCTAGAGGGCTATAGGTACTATGTAACTTTTGTTGATGAATATACAAGATTTGTATGGATTTTTCCGATGAGTAATAAATCTGATATGTTTCTGATATTTATGAAGTTCTACAAGTTTATTCTTAATCAGTTTGGTGTTTCAATCAAGTCTTTACAAACGGATGGAGGGGGTGAATATACAAGCAAAAATTTTACTTCTTTTCTTGCTGATAAAGGTGTTGAGCAATTGATTTCATGTCCTTACACTCCACAATAGAATGGAGTTATAGAAAGGAAACATACACATATTGTAGAGACTGCAATTACTCTTCTCACTGATGCAGGTTTAGCTTCTGAGCTGTGGTAGTTTGCATGTGCACATGCAGTGTTATTAATAAATAGAATGCCTTGCAAAAGTTTATCTTTTAGTTCTCCTTACTTCAGTTTGTATAAGAAAGCACCTGATCTACTATCTCTTAAAGTGTTTAGTTCAGCTGTATTTCTATGGCTGAGACCATACAATATGAATAAATTACAACCAAGGTCAGAGTTATGTGTGTTTTTGGGTTATACACAAGGATATAAAGGCCATATCTGTTATCGTATGCAAACCAAGAAGATCATAATCTCCAGACATGTGTATTTTGATGAAAGTTTATTTCCTGCAAAAATGGTTAATAACACTAGGAATGGAGTTCCACAGCGACATGAGGATTATTAGGAATCAAGAACCTGCCTGTTATTATATCTATACCTATATTAAGACGTCAGCAAGGTGGAACACATGCAGGTTCATAGAGTTCATTGGCCCAACCTGAAACAGAAGTATCTTCTCCAACAAGTAATGAGAATTTGATAGAGTTTGATTCTACTGAAGTACACAACAGTCCATCTAAAGACAATCTTGAGATAATGGATCTACTGAGTCAGAAATTCAGGGATCTCAGCCATCACATACTCTTTCTTCTCCACAAGACACTACTCATTTGCTTCCTGTCATGGACCCTGCACAGTTACAGGTAATCCTCCCGTTTACCTCATCTTCTATAAGTCATAATTCAATTATCACAGGAACAGATTCAAATCGTATTCAGACCAGACTACAAACTGGTGATATTCCTCGAAAGAGCTATATGGGGTGTCTTGCTTCATTACCTTAGTTGTATTCTTTACAACTTGAGGAGTCATATAATGATGATCAATCTAGTGCAACTAGTGAGCATTTTTCTGGGGGATTTTCATTCTTGGCTAATATCACAGATGGTGAAGAACCTAAAACATTTAAAATTGCTTCAACAAAACTAGAATGGCAGCTTGCAATGCAAAAGGAGTTTGATGCATTGAAAACCCAAGGAGCCTGGCTGTTGATCCCATCACCATCAAATCGATCAGTTATTGGCAGTAAATGGGTGTACAAGGTGAAGAAAAATCCAGATGGTACTGTCTCGAGATACAAAGCTCGATTGGTTGCACAAGTCTACACTCAAGAACAAGGTTTAGATTATTTCGAGACGTTGAGTCCTGTAGTAAGGCATACTACAGTAAGGATAATCTCAGCTTTGGCTGCGCAATTTGGTTGGCAATTAAGGCAACTCGACGTTAAGAATGCCTTTCTTCATAGAGAGTTGGAGGAAGAGGTATATATGAAACAGCCACAAGGCTTTGTGGATCCTACATGCCCAAATCATGTGTGCAAATTGGTCAAGTCACTCTATGGCCTAAAACAGGCTCCTAGAGCTTGGAACTCCAAGTTCACAAACTATCTTCCAGCCATTGGTTTCAAATCATCACTTTCAGATAGTAGTCTCTTTGTGAAAATGGATGATGGTGATCTTGTTTTTCTATTACTTTATGTTGATGACATAATCCTTACTGGTTCAAATCCAATAAAACTACAAGTTATGATTAATGATCTTGCTAGTGTGTTTGATCTCAAGGATATGGGGAGATTGTCATACTTCTTGGGACTGCATATACAATATCACGATGATGGATCTTTGTTTTTCACTCAAACCAAATATGCTAAAGATCTATTAAAGAAAGCAGGTATAGACAGTTGTAAACCTACTTCAACACCATCCAAACCTCATACTCAGGTTCTTGCAGGAGAAGGGAGTTTGTTATCTGAACCTAGTCATTATAGAAGCATAGTTGGAGCATTACAGTACCTAACTTTCACTAGACCCGATATAGCTTATTCAGTGAACTTGGTTTGTCAATTCATGACACAACCAACTGATATACACATGTTATTGGCTAAAAGAATTTTGAGATATATACAAGGTACTGTCAACTATGATCTTAACTATACTAAGAACAAGAACTTTGATATCATTGCTTTCTCAGACTTTGATTGGGCAGCAAATATTACCACCAGAAGATCAATTATTGGTTTTGTTGTCTATCTTGGAGACAATCATATCTCGTGGCAATCAAATAAGCAGTATATTGTGTCTTGTAGTTCTACTGAAGCTGAATATAAAGCTTTGGCTCACTATGCAGCTGATATCTTCTGGATTCGATCAGTTTTCAAGGATATTCATTAGCACATATCAGCTCATCCTTCTTTATATTGTGACAACTTATCAGCTCTAGCATTGAGTTCAAATCCTATCTTTCATTCAAAAATAAAACATCTCGATACTGATTATCATTTTGTACGAGAAAAGGTTCAGAAAGGTGATCTTACAGTGCATTATATTCCAACTGATGACCAAGTGGTAGATGTTTTTACTAAGGGACTACATAGTCCTATCTTCCTTAAGCATTGTCGAAGGCTTGGTTTAGGGATTCTAACTGCAACAAACTCAGCTTCAGCAGCTCAGCTTCGTTTGAGAGGGAGTAATAACCATATGATGATGTGGCAGAGTATCATTGGTTAAGTGATTGAATTGATTGAGTTAGTTAGGATAAAGTTTTTAGTGAGGGTATTTGAGTCTTTTGAAATAGATGGCTGTTACTACAAAAGGTAGCTATAAAGCCATTTTCCTCAGTATGTTAGACTTGACTTTTCTGAGAAATACATAGAGCATTTTCTTTCATCTTCCTTGTTAATTCATCTTTCTGCCATTGTTCATTTCTTCCATTCTTCATAATCTCATATGTTAATAACTTTAACCCCTGATTTTAAAGCACACAAATTTAGCTTCCACAAAATTCACATCACAAAAAAGAAGACGGCTAATCGATCAATTACCTCGAGAGAATTGAGGTTGTTGAAGCTGAGGTCAAGCCTCTCCAAGTTCTTGAACTCGCCCAAGCACGAAACCTGCCCATTTTTGCAAATCACAAATTAATTGTACCCATAAAATGAAATTTATAAAATTGACAATAATCCAATACGAAATTAAGAGAAAGACACGGCAAAGACGACGCCGTATGTACGTCAGAGAGAGCCTTGTGATTGAGCTTGATGTTAGAACCTTATCGGGTCCACTTTCTTTACCTTTTGTTATTATCCTTATTGTAATTGGGAGTGGTTATTAGAGGATGACTCAGCACTTGAGCCTTTTGTTTGTGTTGGCTAATGGGTTTATAAGCCCCCAATTGTATCTCCTTTTATTTATGAAATGAATATGCTTTAACTTTCCTACCTAACTTAGCTGTCTTTCCTTTTATTTCTTCTTCTATGAACTAGAGTCCTATCAATTGGTATCAGAGCCGTCCTATCAATTGGTATCAGAGCCAAGTTGTGCATCCATGGGCAAGAGCAAGGCCTCTGTGACGGTGGCCGAGGTTTCCAAGGTGGAGCTCGACTTGGACTTTCAACAGCAGAAAATCCTTACCCAACTTCATAGATTCCAAGAGGCCATGACACTGATAAACCTCCGTCAAGATGAATTGCAGCATCATATGGCGATCTGCAACTGTCTCTCGCCAATCTAAATGTCTACCAAACTCAGCAGAGTCAATTTCACCAAACCCTCATCAATGAGTTTTAATCTCTGAAAAACCCACCCACAACCTAACCCCTTCCCCAGATTCCGATTGGTTCCATTCCTGTTTCGCTCGGCTCTGGGCCATTCTCCACCACCCTTCCCCCACCCACCTGGGGTACTTCACCTTCTTCATCACTCACTACCTCGTTTGTCGCAGGTCATTCCCCCATGTTCTACGACCATACGTCATTTCCCTTTTTTACCTACCCCACTGGTGGTCCACTCCCATCCAGATCACTCTCATCATTCTCGGGCGTACCTTTTGGCCACACCTTGGGCCCTGACCCACAGTCCACCCACCACTACCCACTTCTTCCATCGCCGATTTCGCCGCATCTGCACTTGAAGATTGAGCTTCCACGCTTTTTTCAGGGAAGACCCGTATGGTTGAATAGCCACTGCCCAGCCACCGTCACCAGTCTACATTTCAGTGAGGATACCGTTTATTGGCTCCGATGGTTCAAAATGCGTTTCCCTCTCTTCTCTTAGGTGACCTTCACCGCATAGTTACTGCAACGTTTTGGACCTACAAAATCCTTCAATTTTCACATGGCTCTGTCTGACATAACATAAACCGAGTCGATAGAGGATTATGTCGGCCGTTTCATTCGACTTTCTTGTCGGACTCCAGATTGGTCAGATGAGTAACTCTTATGGACTTTTTTGGGAAGGCTCAAGGAGGACTTGCAAGATGACGTGGTGGCCCAATGCCCTGCTTCCCTTGCCCATTTTATCGAACTTACTACGATTTACAAGACCAAACAAGGGCATCGCTCTAATTTTCGCCCGGGCCTTCCTTGTTCCTCTTCTACCCCCTCTAAACATTTCCACGCTTCCACAGCCGCACCCTCTATTCCCCCTATTACTCTTTGTTCCTTACCACCAGCCACACCGAATCCTCTCTCTAAGCCCATCTTACACCTCACCCAAGCCGACATGCAAGCACGGCGGGAACAAGGGCTTTGTTTTAATTGTGATGAGCAATATCAGCCGGGTCATCGTTGTCGGCAATCCCATATCCTCATGCTTTTGGCGGATGAGGATTTCTTCGAACTGCAGCCGGAACCCGAGACCTCTAACCCACCCGACATTGCCATGGGGGACCAACCAGCGTAACCAATTGCTCTCAACGCCATCTCTGCTACAAAGCGTTCTCGGGGGCGAGCTATGTGATTGGAGGGTGTCATCCACCATACTCAGATTCAAGTGTTCATAGACTCTGGGGCTGACCAGAGTTTTCTTAATCCTTAGGTAGCTGCCCGTTTGGGCCTTCCAATCGATTCGGCCTCTAGTAAAGCAGTGATGGTGGCCACGGGCCACTACTTTCGCACACAGGGTATGGCTCGCAATCTCTCTGTTCACCTTCAGGGGTATGACTTCAATGCGGACTTTCACCTCCTTACTGTCGTCAGGTGTGACATGGTTCTTGGAGTTGATTGGTTGGAAACATTGGGTCTTATTAGCTAGAACTTCCTCCTAACAGTCATGGAGTTCACTGTGCAGGGCACTAATTATCATCTGGTGGGGTCTTCAGCCCCTACGGCCGGTTCCATAACTCCTTTGTCTTCCTTGGATCATTTAATTGGGGATACAGTCCATATTGTGGCGCAGCTCTCCAATTTACCAACTGGGTTATATAATTTAGCGCCACCACCCAAGATCCTCCAAGCCTTACTCCTCCAATATTCTAATCTTTTTGAATATTCCACCACCTTATCCCCTCACCAGATCATTGATCATCGGATTTCTCTACTTCTAGGCACTGGCCCCGTGAATGTGCAGCCCTATCATTATGGACATGCTCAGAAAGCTGAACTTGAATGATAGGTGGATGAAATGTTAACTGCAGGTATTATCCAGCCAAGTCTCAGCCCTTTTTCTTCGTCGGCACTCTTAGTTGCCAAAGAGGTCAATACATGGAGGTTTTGTGTAGACTTTCGGGTTTTGAATTTCGTCACTATCAAAGACCGTTTTCTAGTTCCTATTATTGATGAATTATTAGTCGAGTTACAGAGTGTTGTTATCTTTTCGAAGCTCAACTTGCGTTCGGGGTATCACCAGATACGGATGCACGAACCTGACATTCTGAAAATTATTTTCCGAACGCATAAGGGGCACTATGAGTACACGGTCATGCCATTCGGCCTGACCAATGCTCCAGCCACCTTTCAGGCATTAATGAATTCCATTCTGAAGCCCTTGTTGTGTAAGTCAGTGATAGTTCTTTTTTTATGATATATTGGTTTTCAGCCCATCTATGAAACAGCATGTTTCCCATTTAGCTACAGTGTTAGAGCTATTACGCACTCATCAATTAAAATTGAAGCCTTTAAAGTGTCTTTTTGGCCAGCCTTCGATTGCATATTTGGGACACATTATATCAGCCATGAGAGTGGCCATGGATTCCTCTAAGATTTCTGCGATTTCAGATTGGCTAACACCAACCACTGATCGTGCCCTTCACGGGTTTTTTAGTCTTGCGAGATACTATCATAAATTTTTTCGTCATTTTGGCATCATAGCACGACCACTTATGGACTTATTACGTAGTGACAGTTTCTAGTGGTCCACCGGCGCTAATCAGGCCTTCTCAGCCCTTAAACAGAAATTGTCCTCCACACCGATACTCACTCTTCAGTATATGATAAGGAGATGCTGGTAGTGGTTTTTGCTATCCAAAAATGGCATTCTTATTTGATTAGCCATTAGTTCTGAATCCTTACTGACCACCAGATTTTGAAATATTTCCTTGATCAGTGCATCACTACTCCAACTCAACAAAGGTGGTTATTGAAGTTACTTGGTTATAACTATATGTTGGAATATAGGCCAAGAACTTCGAACACAGCTGTTGATGCTCTTTCCTGACGTCGTGGAAATTCTTGGGTTAATAGGTCTATCTCAGCCTCTTTTTTATTGTGTCGCTGCTATACAAGTAGACTATGTCGTTGATCCTCAAGCTTCTTCAATTTTGGCGGTCTTGCAACAGGACCTGAAGCGTCATGCCTTATTTAAACTTCATGGGGATCTCTTATATTATAAGAAGGGTGTTTTTGTCGCTGCATCTTCCCCTTGGCGAACATGCCTCATTACAGAGTTTCATTCTTCACCATCTGCAGGACACTTGGGTTTTTTACGCACTTACAAGAGGTTAACACTCAATTTCAATTAGCCGAGGCTTAAAAAATACGTTAAAAAGTTTATGGATGCATGTGACACTTGCCAGCGTACAACGTATGAGACGATTAAACCACCGGGCCTATTGCAACCTCTGTCCATTCCTACCAAGGTATGGCAGGACATTGCAATGGATTTCATTGAGGGCCTCCTTCGATCCATGGTCGTAATGCTATTTTCATGGTAATGGATCGGCTATCCAAGTATGGTCATTTCATTTCAGTCAAACACCCATATTCTGCAGCCAAAATCGCAGATATCTTTATTCAAAAGGTCTTTCGTCTTCATGGCATGCCGGCTTCCATAGTGAGTGATCGGGATCCCATCTTTATCAATGCCTTTTGGACTGCCTTCTTTAAACAGTAGAACACCACTCTTTGCAAGAGCTCGGCATATCATCCACAATCCGAAGGCCAAATCAAAGTGCTCAATCGCACCCTTGAACGATATTTGCGCAGTTTTGTAGATGACAAACCTAAGGATTAGATACAGTGGCTTCCTTGGGCCAAGTGGTGGTATAATACTACCTATCAGGCTGCCATACAAATGACCCATTTTCAGGCCGTTTATGGTTACCCACCTCCAAAAGTGTCCTTCTATTTTCCTGGCTCTTCTCCAGTACATCTGGTAGATGTCACCCTTTGTGATCAAGATGCACTACTTAGGCAATTGAGGGAGAACCAACACCTCGCTCAACACAGAATGCGCCAGCAGGCTAATAAACATTGTTCGGATAGAACCTTTTCAGTCGGGGATTGGGTCTTTCTCAAGCTTCAACCATATCGCCAGACATCAGTGTCTAAGACGCATTGCCCTAAATTGGCTCATCGCTACTATGGACAGTTCAAGGTGCTTCCTCGTGTTGGCCAAGTGGCATATACTCTGGACATGCCTCCTCATTCTCGTATTCATCCTACCTTCCATGTGTCCTTACTCAAACCCAAGGTGGGTGCTCATACAGTTGCATCACCAATTCTTCCACCAATTTCCTCAGATGGTGCCTCTATCTGGAACCCAGAAAAGATCCTTCAGCGTGAAATGTTCAAGCAAGACAATCACGCAATCAACCGTTGGCTCATTAAATGGAAAAGTCTTCCGGAGCATAACGCTACGTGGGAGGATGCCGACTCTATCTTAACTCATTTTCCTGAGTTTGCCGCCTAAGGACCAACTTGTTAATGGGGGGAGCCATTGATAGGAGCATATTTATGCTACTTAGCTATGTTGTTTCCTTGCATTTAGTAAGCTAATTACTACTTATTATAGTGTTTTAAGCTATTTTCGTGTGTTTGTAGGTCCTAATGGTAAAGTTGGCAAACAAAGGCAATTTTAAGCCTTTTAGAGCAGTTTTGGGCTTATTATGGATAGCTTGCATATGGAGCAAGGTGGATGGACGAAATTGAATTCAAGAGAGGCTAGGAATATGCTACAAATATGGAGAAACAAGTTCAAATACAAAGATGATAAGGAAAGAGCAAGAAATAAGGAACATTATCCAACCTTATCTTATTCTATCCTAACCAACCTTATCATTTCCTAAATCTAGCATTATCCTATCTTATCTTACCCAAATCAGTTTGTGCCTTAATTATAACTATTTAGAAAGGATTAGTTATACATTTAAATACATAACTCAGATTCTAGAGACCTTATCCCTTATGTGCCGCATATATGCCATTCCTTGGTGGATTAGGAGTTGTAATCCCTCTCCTACATCCTTGCCGCATGTGTGGTGATTTAGAGTCAAAAATATGTTCTAAAACATCCTTTCTAGAAGCCCTATACCTGATCCTAATTGAACACCACAGGTTCTTAACCTTTTCCTTCTTGGTTTTTGCCAAACCTTAGTTCTTTTCCCATTGGATTATGCAATCCTTTTCCTTTAGAAATTGTGCAAGACCTAGCCTATAAATACAAGCCTTTGTCGCTGGTTTTAAATCATCCATTCACTCATTCATTCATTCATACATTCAGCCATCAAACACCATAATTCACACCACATCACCCTAGTGCCGCAAGCAACGAAGGAATGAGAAGAAGAGTGCCGTGCAATCTGCCATCCAAGGAAGGTTCAAAATCTACCATTGGAGTGGGGAGTGTTTCTGGGTTCTTTTTATCCTTAGTTTTAGTTCAATGTTTATGTTAATTTGGTTTTCAATTATGATGAACATATGGAACTAATTTCTTTATAGTTAGAGGTGAATTCGAAGCCATGATTATATGTTTTATATGAATTGATTATATCCAGTTATTGTTTCTTTAGTCTTGAATGTGATTTGCTTATCTGAGTTAGTAAAACTTGTTAATGTATGTTGATTGAGGGTCGACACTTAATTTGCGTGCATGAATTTGATGCTAGAGTATAAGGGAGTTTCACCTAATCGTTATGAACTTATATTCACAAGTAGTGGAGGTTGCTAGTCACAATCGTGTTAAGTGAATCCTTGGCATGAGTCTCATGCATTTCATAGTGATGAATGCCTTGTCAATGCTTATGATTTTCATAGAACTTAATGACTTTTGATATGTATCTCTATCATGAGTTTCATATAGGGAACTTGAGAAAGATAATTTGGTTGTAATGCGTATTCATTCAATTCAATGAAATAAGGAAAATCTGATGGTTGGTTGTGCGATGCAATTAACTTGGGGTGTTGTCATTCGTAGTCTAAAGGAATAATAACTGGGAATTGGTTTGTATGCATATATCATGTGTGGAGAAGGACCCTCTAACTAGCCTTTCACCCATTTAAATTCACCAAATTCGTTTTTACAAAGTGTTTTATGCAAAGTTTCTGTTTTAAGTTTTAAATTCGTCAAAAACAATCCCCCTTTCATTTAGTCTTGTTATTTGAGTCGAAATCTGTTTTCTTTTAGTCTTTTTAGTCAAGTTAAGTTTTATTTTCGTCAAAATCACTTGTTAGGTCTAAAATTGAGTCTTTTTTATTGTTTGTTGTTGTTTTGAGTGTTTTAAGTTAGTTTTGAGTCTATAGAGTCTAGTTTAGTGTTTTTGAGTCTTATTTGTGTTGATTAGCATCCCTAGTTAATACCCAGTCTAGAACGATCCCTACTTACATATATACTACAATTGTCAACAGTAGGGTTTAATTTGTGTGTCAAGTTAATTTTCACATCAAATTTTGGCGCCGTTGTCGAGGATTAACAAACTTGCTAATCCCTCTTTGTTTATTGTCGTGTGTCTTCATTTATTTTTGTTCATGTGTTTTGTTTAGTTTTCTGATTTTATGTTTTTTGTTTGCTTTGTTATAGGTACTAGTTCATGACTCGTAGTTCTTAACCTGTTCGTGAGCACATATTGGAATTTGATGACGATTTTGAACGAACTTTAAGAAGAAAAATGAGACACCTAGAACCTAGTCTACCTAGTTTTGAGGCCAAATCTGAAGAAGAAGAAGTGAAGGAAGAAGAACAAGCCATGGGTGCGGATAATCGAACAATCAAGGAACTTTCAACCTCGGGATTAGACAATGACATGCCTTTATGCATTTAATATCCTATGGCAGCTCAAGGCAATACCGATGAGTTCGAATTGAAGTCTAGCTTGTTGCATCACATTCCCAAATACCATGGGTTGTCCATGGAAGATCCAAACAAGCATCTTAAGGAGTTTGAAGTGGTATGTTCAAGCATGACACCTATCAATGTCGATGGGAACATTTTGAAGATGAAGGCCTTTCCATTCTCTCTTTTGGAAAAGGCTAAAGATTGGCTATATGAATTGGCACCCGGAACCGTCACTTCTTGGGAAAGCATGAAACGAGCATTCTTAGAGAAGTTTTTCCCAACTTCGAGAGTCATTCTTTTGGGGAAGAGAATTAGTGGAATTCAACAAAGCCAAGGAGAGTCTTTTCCAACATACTATGTGCGTTTCAAGACTCTAGTTGCATCATGCCCTCAACATCAAATGAAAGAAGAGCTTTTAATTCAATATTTCTACGAGGGACTCCTTCTAATTGAGAGACAAATGCTAGATGCCTCGGCAGGGGGTGCTTTGGTTGACAAAACACCCGTGGCTGCCAAGGTCTTAATTGCAAATCGAGCCTTGAATGCAAAACAATACGAAGGTGTTGGACAAAGAGACCCCCCATGGCAACAACAAGTGAATGAGGTAAGTGCAATTTCTGAAATTCAGTCTCAATTGGCTAATCTCACTATTCTTGTGTCACAGGTTGTCGATGGATCCTCAGTGCAAGGTGCGGTAATATGTGGAGTGTGCTTTGTGCAAGGGCATCTTAATGATCAATGTCCTCCATTGATAGAGAATGGAGGATGGGAAAGCACCAATGCCATAGGTTATCAAGGCCAAAAGCAACAAAGGAATGATCCATACTCAAATACATACAATCCGAGACGGAGAGATTGATAGGAGCATATTTATGCAACTTTATTAGCTTGTTTCTTTGCATTTAGTAAGTTAGTTTCTATTTATTATAGTGTTTTAAGCTATTTTCGTGTGTTTGTAGGTTTAAATGACAAAGTTGGCAAGAAAGTGCAATTTGGTGCTATTTGGAGCAGTTTTGGGCTTGGAATGGATTGCATATGCATAGAGCAAGGTGGATGGACGAATTTGAAGATCAAGAAAGGCTAGGAATGTGATCAACATCTGGAAGAATTAAATTGAAGACTTGGAAGATAAGGAATCAGGTACAAAGAAAGAATATTATCCAAATTACCTTATCTTATCCAAACCTTATCCAACCTTATCTTATCTTATCCTATCCTAATCTTTTCCTACCTTAATTCCAGCTTCAAAGATGACTCATTTTCACATTAAATCACCTAAATATCATGTTCTAGGAGCCCTATTTTCGTGCCCTAAGTTTATGCTACATGTAACCCTTCTAGAAGTTCTAGAATCTGCCACAAAAACCATTCCTTGTCCTCCTTGGAATCTGATTGAAAGTGTCCTTGTTCTTTGGTGATTTGGAGTCCTAATTCCTCTCCTTTTCAGCCTAATTTCGTGCCTTCCCTTCACCCTATAAATACAAGATGCTGCAACACTCATAAACCATCACCCTCCACCACAATTTCACACCACACCATCCACCACACCTCAAGAGCCTAAATTCACACAAATCCACATTGTGTGCAGCAAGGAAGGAAGGAGGAGCCACCTGGAGTGTTTCTAGGTGTATTCTATCTTTTTTTTTAATGTTTAAGTTTAATTATCTTTGTTTTGCAAACATGAGGAGCTAAACTTGTTTTAGCTAGAGGAGACTTTGAAACCATGATTATATTTGCATTATGAATTGATTACTTTTAGTTGTGATTTCATAAATCGTGAATACAATTTACTTAACTATTTGATTAAGAACTTATTCTTGTGTGTTGATTAAGAGGGCCCGCTTAGTTTGCATGCATGAATTTGATGCTAAAATATAAGGGAGTTTCACCTAATCGTTATTCACTTATATTCACACACTAGTCATGATTGTGTTGTTAAGTAAATTCTTGGCAAAAGTATCATGTTGTTCATAGTTACGAATGTCTTGTCAATGCTTATGATTTTCACAAAGCTTAATGATCTTTGATTGTATATCTATTATGTTGTTCATGTAGGGAACTATTGAAGAATAATTTGGTTGCCGATGCGTATTTCATCCAATTCAATGACTTAAGGAAAATCTGAAGGTTAATTAGTGATGTTCACGGTTAATCTGGGGTGTTGAAGTTCATGGTTTATTGGAAAAGCAACTGGAAATCAATTTGTATGCAAGTGTGTCATGTGTGGAGAAGGACCCTCTAGCTAGCTTATCACCCATAGTTTTCCCTAATTTCGTCCAAAGTTGTTAAAGTCTTTAAATCTGTTTGTTTTTACTTTAATTTCGTCCAAATCAATCTCCCCTTTAATTAAGTGTGTTAGATTAGTTAGTAACGTGTTCAAATCTGTCCAATTTAGTGTTTTGAGTCTTAATAGTCTAAAATTCGTCCAAATAACTTCTTAAAGTCTGTTTCGAGTCAATTTAACTTAGTTTGTGTGTTTTGAGTCTTTTTAGTTTGTTTTGAGTCATATAAGTCTAGTTAAGTGTTTTTAAGTTTTGTTTTGTATTTTTAAATCAGTTTAGAGTAGATTAGCATCCCTTCTAATCCCCGGCCTAAAACGATCCCTACTTTCAATACTACAATCATAGGGTTTTAATTTG